ACCTGCAGGCACTCTCCGAATCGAGCTAATTAGGCTCGGGTTCCTAAGTTACCACACCCAGGGACAGGAGTCCACGAATATACCGCAATGAAATGTCAATGCTTTAGACTAAATGAAGTACTAGATTCAACAAATCCCCATACTGTGACAGCCATTCCCTTTTCGGGAAGATATCTGGGGGTTGCATTCATTCATGGACGGCGGTTGTAAGTTTAAATACTTTGAAAACACTCCAATGAAGTTGATAAAAGCAATTTGCGCCAAAACTTCGTTCTTGCAATAATTTCTCCATAGCTACTTCATTAACGGTGGATAGAAATTTAATCGTTATTAGCTCGCACATTTCTGTGTTTACTCGCAAATCTCTACCAAAATAAGGAGTGAGATGAAGATGTTTATGACGATCTTATGATATTCCAGATGTTTACGGAGATGTGTTACAGTATCTATGGAAGATGAACAACTTTCCGAAGGCTATCTATGACGATGTTAGCAAAATATATAATCTAGGGAATAGTTCAATTGCATGCGAATATGGAAAATGTAAAATACTACAAAAATGAATTGCTAGATTACAATGTTGTAAGTCACTTCTGTACAGGCCCGGTTTTTTATATTAGGTCGTTCCGAAAGTAATGTCGCTTTTTTCAAATGTACGCCACATCTCGTGGAACAAAGATGTGTAAGAGGTCTGGTAGCATTTGATGCAGCATTTCATACTCTTTCTAACGGTGATATAATCACTGCACAAATTCATTAACCTCTCGAAAAATTATCAAAATCTGCGTCCCATTCTTTTTGAGAAGGCCCAGTTTCACAATTTTTCTAAATTTTTACAACAATCCTTGGAAGGAGTCCAAGTGATGGATGGATAGAGGAAACCCTACAGGAAAAGGCACAACTTTTTTCTACTTTCCAGAGCTCGTCATAATTTTTGTATAGATTTTTTGATGGAACCTCCGAATTTTAGCATTCTCACCTTAGACATAAATGCATCAAACATTAATAAATCTTCAAACTTTGAAACTTACAAAGATGGATTACGGTTTAACACTAAGTTTACAAACCAAATGAGCATTCACCGCTTCAGATTAGCAAGTTTCGAAAATTTTGGGTACAGCCTGAGGCGCCCTGAAAAACTTGAATTTTGATGATTTTGTCTCGGAAAACTTGATGAATCGGATACGAAAAACAACTGTTAGAAAGAGGAGAGGAAGCTGCATCGAATGACACCCGAGTTGCTTGTCGGTTGTTGTTCTGTGAGGTTTGAGTTGAGCAAGTATGGACTTTGATGGCATTGAAAAATTGACTTCAGAAACTCTAAGAAACAAGCTAATGAAAAGAAAAAAATTACACCGTGTCCTTTAGAGTTTGCTCTATCTATCAGTCTCTTGCGCTTCTTCGGAGAGTAGATACAAAAATTTAGAAAATTAGCCGAACTTGAGCATGGCAAAAAGCATGATTCGCGGATTTTGGTAATTTTTCGAAGGCTCATTGCATAGTATGCAATGAAATTACAACCGTTAGAAAGAGGATAAAATGCTGCATCGAATGCTCCTAAGATCTCTTGAAAATCTTGATTCCATGAAATTTAGCGTTCACTTGAAAAAAGCGACATTACTTTCGGAACGACCTAATATACAGTGCTGGCCATAGCTATAAAGCCACTCTAAAAATCACCGTAGTTCGCTCTCTCTTGCTCATATTTGTCTGAAAAACCACTATTCTGTGCGCAAACTAACGTCATAATGACCAGAACGGCTCCTGATTTCATGGATTTTGGCCGGAGAAAAATTGAAAATTTGAAAAAACGGGTTTCGAAGGCTGGTCACAGCTATAAAGCCACCTCTCATTTTCAATCAGTACTGTGTTTTTTCAACCTCAAATTTTTTGCACATATAGAACATCAAAACATAAAACATTTGTTATACTTGAAAGGAGTCGCCTTTCAAAAAGAAGATTCGTACTGCATTTTTTGCTCTAAAATGCATAATAGGTCACATCATTTGCAAAAAGCTGCTTTTTCACTGAATTTTGAAGCACTTGTTTGACTCAGATGAAGGCCCTATGCTTTGCCGAGCCTTTGCAATAAATACGGCGAAAAGCTCTTGAATTAACATTGCGTAGTCGCTGATATTGATAAACAAGTCCCAACCTCACCTCCAGGTAGACGAGTTTTCGAACCGCAGAAATTGAGTTCTGATGCCCGAAAAGCTCTGTCGCGTGCTCAGCACGTCGCTTGTACAACGATAGAGTCGTGTGCATAGCTTGTACGTCATCGTAACTCTGAGGATTCTGGTTCCGCTTTGGACGCCTTTTTTCCTAAAATGTCTGCAGTTCGGTTGTGCACTCCGTCTGATCATGACTCACTCTAACCACTTCGATCGAGCGGAAAACCGCTCAAAACTTCAAAATCCTACTATTCCTGACAGTTTAGTAAGATTTGACTTGATGAGGAGTTCAAAGCAGTGAAATCTGAAGTCTTGTGAGATACACTGCGCACAACCGAACTGCAGACAAAGCGTTCTAACTTTGGTGCGGCAAATTCGTCTTTGCGAAAAAACCTGACAGCTTCTGCATGAGCACGTCGCCATGCAGACAAGGTGTCAACTTCCAACCAAAAGTTTTCGCGCGTCAGAAGTCGAGTTTTGCGCCTCAGAAGCGTGCTTACACCTCGGTAAGATGAGGGCTCGTTTATCAAGATTAGCGACTACGCAATTTTCAGTTCAACACTTTTCACATCGTTCTTGCAAAGGCCAAACAAATCCTAGGACCTTCATCCGAGTCAAACAAGTGCTTCAAAATTCAATGAAAAAGCAGTTTTTTTGCAAATAATGTGACTTATTATGCATTTTAGAGCAGAAAATGCAGTACGAATCTTCTTTTTGAAAGGCGACTCCTTCCAAGTGTAACAAATGTTTCACATTTCGATGTTGTATATGTACAAAAAATTTGAGGTTCACAAAACGTAGTACTGATTGAAAATGAGAGGTGGCTTTATAGCTGTGACCAGCCTTCGGAACCCGTTTTTTCAAATTTTTGAAGTTTATCCGGCCAAAATCCATAAAATTGGGAGCCGTTTTGGTCAATGGTATGAAGTTAGTTTGCGCACAAAATAGTGGTTTTTCAGACAATTATGAGCAAGAGAGAGCAAATTACGGTGATTTTTAGGGTGGCTTTATAGCTATGGCCAGCACTGTATTAGGTTGGTGCAAAAGTTCTTTCCCCCCAAATTTAAAAATTCATAACTTCTAAGTTTTCTGACCGATTTGACCGTTTTTATTTTTGTATGAAAGAGCACGTCATGCTCTTTATAATGACATCTTAGTTGCTTGCCAATGATCATCTGTTACATAGATAGGAGCGATAGAAGAAAATTAGTCAAAATTCGAATTTTTTGTAGGGTCATAAAAAATCGGAAACTTGCAACAAAAATCGGAGCAGTCGGTATTGTAGGTTCTTTCACCAGCTCTTTCTAACAGTGCAAAGATTGCGCCGACTGAGCGTCTTTATGAAAAGTTACAATTTCCCTGGAAAATGCCCAAATAAATCAAATTCGCCCTTTTGTATTGCTTGCTCGAAAATCGTAACTTTTCATAAAGACGCTCAATCGGCGCAATCTTTGCACTGTTAGAAAGAGCTGGTGAAAGAACCTACAATACCGACTGCTCCGATTTTTGTTGCAAGTTTCGGATTTTTTATGACCCTACACAGAAAAATCGAATTTTGACTAATTTTCTTCTATCGCTCCTATCTAAAGAACAGACGATCACTAGCAAGCACCTAAGATGTCATTATAAAGAGCATGACTTATTCTTTCATAAAAAAATAAGAGCGATCCAATCGGTTGGAAAATTCAGAAGTTATGAATTTTTGAATTTGGTGGGAAAGAACTTTTGCACCAACCTAATAAAACATGGTCATAAAGTGTCTGAAAATTAGAAGCTAAATGTGGAAATGTGGAAATGCTGATTCTCACCCGATGTTTTGCCAAACACGGCTTGAGCGCAACTTGCCAGGAGACAATGGGAGGCCTCAGGAGAGGTTTTGTTTTACTACTGCTTATGTATGTGATGCATTCCTTGTTGTTCGAGTAATTTAGCTTCATAACGGCCTTTTGATGGTAGCAGTGAGCCAAAAGCTAGAGCTAAGCGCATCTGTCATTGCTTGAATGGTTTATCATACTACTTGGTCTTTTTCCTAGCAAAAATCCTTGCTTTGGCATATAATACACACTTTCAATGCAGGCTGTCCATTTGCTATCTATTCGTGATTCTTACACAATCATTTTCGTATGGGCAGCGCTTAGGGTATCTCTAACTGTCTGGATATATAAACAAAATTGACTATTAGGTTGATTTGTAGACACTACACCAAAATATTTGCAAAAATCGTAATTATCTTTAGATCCAACTCTGTTCGGTTCAGTTTTAGTGAGATGAAGTTATACTTTTTTAGTAATGCACGATGCAATTATCATTGGCGTGGGGTTGCGATAGATTTTGATAAACAGAAGCACTTAGATCCAATTTTTGCGTTATGGTAACAATATTTCAAAATTTTCACTAATCGATTTCATCCGCAAAAAACAGATATGTGTATAATCACAGCATAAATACCATCCAACGTAAAAAAAAACTATGAAATTTGATGATTTGCTTCAACTTTTGAGATAAATTTCCGCAACTTTTGATGCAGGTCAACCTAGTAGTTTTCTTTCAAAAGAAGAAAATCGAGTTTTTGCCTTTAGTATGATATGAGAGTTGACATTAACACAAGAGCAGTTTCACCTCGCTATCGAAAAAAGTATATATAGATGAACTTTTGCTATTTACGTCCCAAAATTATGTGCAGAAAAATTTTGAGGCTTATTTGCATATAGCTGTTCTCTCTGCAAACAAGCAAAGAGCAAAAGGAGTTATGGAAAAGGAGCTGAGTTCTATCTTCTTTCTTGAAGGAATGATCGATGTCATTATGCTATTCAAAATTTTGATCTCAATGGGGTTTGTTTATCAAAAATAACAAGATAATAACCATACAACAAGGAAGGGTAACAGAATCAAAGACTCTATCGATCTGCAAATTCTTCAATGAAGTTATCAAACCAAGCCTAATAGATTACAAAGCACTTTCGATTGAGAACAATTTGATGAAATTCTAATAACTCAGAGATACCAAGACTATCTTGCAATCGTCTCCAATATTTACAACTCGATGAGTACCCGTTTTCTTCAAAGTATATGTCCAGTGTCACAAGGATCACATGAGATGGAAATCACGCTAGCCTTGTCAATTTACAAACATACATCGGTCCAAAATTCGAAGGAAGGAAAGGCAGTACTAGAGCACCCGTTCGGCACTGGTCGGAGAACCGATAAAGACCAGATGATGAAAGATGCGTGATCAATTGTAGAAGAGACTCTTCAACAACCTGAAACAGAAACTGTCATTTAAGCAAGGATACATCTTATAGACTTACTCGAACTCCAAACTTCTGCTCCGCTATCGCTACTCCATTCTCCACCACGGCTTCATTCTGGATAGATGACAAAGTACAAGTTGAGTAGACGACAGAGCCGCCAACTTTTACTGATCGCAAAGCATTTCTGGAGATCAACCAGTGAAGACAAAAAAGCTCAATCCAAGTGTGTGCTACTACTAGGGTGCGGCGATTTTTAGAAAAACATGACATTTATTCACGGTATTGACTTGAACACCCGCTGACCTATAACTCTCCCAGGGATTATATGTTCAGCAAATAACAAATGGCCGAAGTTCACAACAATATCAATAGGGTCTTTAAGCTTTTCGAATTGCTCAGGTGGAGATACGACTTCCTATTCTCGCCCAAAAGTTAGTCTGCCCCCTACAGCGCAGGTAAAGGCTGAAGAATTCTGTACGATAGATGAATAGCTTGCCTGAAAACCTCATACTTTTCATATATCTATGATAAACCTACATCAAAATCTTCGTCTGTAGTTGTGGAAGGTTCAACCTTTCGTTGGTCATTTGAGGCGAAAACATATTACCTTCATCTTGATTGAGTGCTAAGCGATCCGTTGAACAGGGAACATCAGCGATCACCTAGAAAGAAAAGATGAAAGTGTTTTAGATAACAAACACATAAGCTCCACTTATTCGTACCCCTTTACTATATCACTTGGAACCTTCAGACAGATAGTCCCGAACTGAAAATATCTAAGAATATCACTCACTTTGTCATATGTGTTCAGCTCATCCCAGGTAGCCAGATTGCTAGCATCTTTTCTTTTCAATATCACTGTGTCTGCTTCTGGAGCATTTGGGGGAACATATATGGATAAAACTCTTTTCAGCTGTCCGAGTCTTGCCAGTTTGAAGTCATTGCAAACCATCTTACCTGAAAAGCCTCCAATGTGAAAATCAAACGTGAAACTACATGAAAAAACCTTACTTGGCAATTTTGTTAGCAAAGCCAACAAGCTTTTCCCTCCAGGTGCAGCGCAAACATCCAACAATGAGTCACCTTTTTCCAAGCCGAGAGCTAGCACCGGCACCAGTGATCCTCCATCCAAAAGCCACCAACCTAAGCAACGTTTCATGAAAAGGTACAAAAACTTGAAATCACGTCTTACAAACTTGGTATGCCACTGTCATCCCTGACTGGTGGTGGAAAATCTGATAATACTCCGCGATCGTAACACCTCAGCCGCAGCTCACGTGGATAGTAGATGAAATGATTTCGTCGCGCCAGCTCCATTCCTTCAGCCTCGAATCCTGTGACTCTGTAATAGTGTTCCCAACGACAGGCAAAGAAAATTGTAAGCATGGAGACTCACTCAAAATTTTCCAGATTCTCCTTCTTTTGCTTCTTTTTGCCCAACTGCAGTTCACCAGGAGTAACGGATCCGGAGGGTGGCTGGAACTCGCCCAGGCCAGCTGCAGATCGCATGATCAAGTCTGGGCCATCGTGGCTTGATGTTAGTTGAGCTATTTCATGATCACCCTGGAATCAAGCAAGAGTTTAAATGCCAGTCCAATTGGAGAACAAATGAATAATTTTGATAATTCGCAAAAAATTTACAGAAGGCCAAACTAAGCAGTCATGAGCTTACCATTTCCTTCATAGCTCTCTCAGTCTCTTCCTTCGCCAGGCTCTCAACGCGCAGTTTTTTCTCTTCAATTCGTTCCGTGGCAGTTTTACCACGGATTCTTGCTAGCAGGTCAAAGGTGCCGAGGTCTTTCAAGATATCCTCATGAGCGTCACAGCTCCTGAACTTTCACGGTTTCATTGTATAAGAACTATTGTTTATCGAATTCTTGAAAATGAGAGTAAAATAAAAAGCAAATTAAAAAAAATTTGCACATAGCAAGTTACGAAAACGGTAGAGAATAAAAAAATGGATTTGAAAAAGTAAGCGAAGGTCAACAACATCACTCACTTCGAGAACGTATTCATGACTGCTATGTGCTTGTTTGGTGTCAATAGGCCCAAACGGATGCTTGGCCATCGCTTCCCGAACATTGGACCATAGTAGAAATCACAATGATCCAATGCAACAGCTGATGGCGTTTTCAGCGGACGATTTTTTGCTATCTGAATGACTTTTATGTGGGATGCTGGCTGTTCAACTGTCGGTATACAATTGCAACCTCAGCATTGCAGCTTACCTTCGGTTTGAATTTCACCGTTTTGAAGCGAACTTGTTGTTTTTGTAGTCTCGCAACGCATATCTCGGCGCAGCTATGGATTTTCAGCATCTCAATTTTTGCCCTATGAAGTTAATTGCAAGAAGGTCCATCAGTATGATCTAAACCCTTGTAGACTGGTGTAAGTTCCAGAGGATAGTTTGGGAAGAGCCTGTCAAAAACTTGGCAGCGCAGCAATATAGAAGTTTTATTTTATAGACAGAAAAATGTACATACCGGTAGGATATCATCAAGTAGCTAATGGCACAGCATACATCAAACAGGAAAGAGATGAAGCTTAGGTGCTGAGGCAGAAATGAAAGAAAGAGTTAAAAAGAAAAGAAATGAAGAAAAGTTTCTGACTCATGGAATTCTGTACTTCCTCACGACTCGGTCTCTGCTAGCTGTGAACAGATGCTTGTTATGGAAGCAAAAATCATAGATAGGATCACAATCGGAGCCCGTGAACTCGTATAGCGGGCTCGTCACATCTGAGGGTGGAGGGTATTGGCACAGGTAGCAACACATCGAACCATCTTCTGTAATGTCAATCATGATATAGTCCTGTTATCAGCTTGGCATTTGTTGAACTTAAATAAAAAATTGGTAAAAATGCCATGTAGTGTTCAAAAAAAAACCTAATACAGCGATCATTCGCTGCTACATAAGAGACTACTGGCTTGTTGCTGCTCGGAAGCAGCCAAAGAAAGACCAAATGCTCTCAATGAAGAAAAAGATACTTTACACCCCCATCATTCCCCCCCCCCCCCGCCCCACCCCATCACGTCATAATTGCGCTTGCCTCTGACCACTTAAGAGGCCGCCTACACTCTCATTTCATGATCCAGGCAACAATGTGTATCGAAATGAAAAGCAAATTAAGGCCCGTAAGCACGTACATCCCCGCGGGGAGGGGAGGGGATCTGAGAGGGGAAGCGTCATAACTCGCTAGTCTACGTATCTTTCTCCTTCTTTCTCTGTCCTGTCTTAAAGGTTCTCAACACTGATACTTGCGCATAACGGATGCCAGGTAATTGCCATACAAGATTAGATATTCATTATTTCGTCTGAACCCCTGGGGATCCCCAGGGGATCACCTCACATTTTCAAGGTCATTTATCTTCCTGAAAAATCAATGAAGACGCTGCAAAATTGTAGCGAAGATATACTACGATACTGCTGAGCCTGTTTTCGACAGAAAAAAAAAATGGAATCTGAAGGTTTAGATTTTTTCTATAATCCCTGGCTCGCGAGCAGCTGTTCATCGAAGATTTTGATGTCTTGAGATTTCACTCATTTATACCATAAACATGTTTAACAGTGCTGTAGTATATCCTCAGTACAATTTCAGAGCATTTTCATTGAGTTTTCAGGAAGATAAATGACTTTGAAAATGTGTGGTGATCCCCTGGGGATCCCTAGGGGATCAGACGAAATAGTGAATATCCAATCTTGTATGGCAGTAACCTGGCATCCATTATGTGCAAGTATCAGTGTATGAGAACCTTCAATAGCAAGATAGAGAAAGAAGAAGAAAGATATATGGATTAGCAAGATATGACGCATCCCCTCTCAGATCCCCTCCCCTCCCTAGCGAGGATGTACGTGCATACGGGCCTAAAACCATCCCAATAACTTCTCGCAAAACTGGCTTCTAATAGCGCTGCATTTTTTCGTAGATACATAACGCTACTATCAAAACTAACGTCCAAAGTTGAGAAATAAATAAATTTAACAGAATTCTAAGCAATCGTGAAGTTGGTGTATAACAGAAATCAAATTAGGAGAAAAGGAAGACACAGAAAACCAAAAACGAGCATAGAAACAGAAAGAATTACTTACTGAATGCCACACAAAGGCCTTCGTCTCTTGTCATCATTTTTGTCACACTTCCTCGGTTGGTTTGCAGATGGTATATGTAAGATCTGAAATGATGCAGTCGTTACCTTATCTCAGCATACCGATGCTCACCTCAGTTTCATATCGTACACGGACACCATGCCCTGCTCGTCTCCAATGTAGATGATGTTTTCCGAATCGTGATCAATGCAAACTGCGGTAGGGACGTTGTCCGTAGCGATAGTGACTTTCTAGATAAAGTAATTATTGGCCGTTTCCATCATCTCTCACTTGGGGTTTATATCAAGATACTATGGTAGTGGCGTACCCAGACTTTCCGTTCGGGGGGGGGGGGGAAAGAGAAAAAATTTTTCGGATGATGGTGCGTGGCGTCAGCCACGCACTCCTAAAAACTGGGATGCTCTCTGAAATTCTTCCGGGCCTCCGACCCCAAAATTTTAGATAAAGGGGGCGTGGCAGCAGCTACGGCCCCGAAAAAAAATTTTTTACAAAGCTAATCTGGATTTTTAAAAATTTTTTAAAAATACTTTAATTATTTACAAGTAAAAAAAGTCCTCTGCACATTTTTTTAACACATATAAGTAACTTTCAAAAATTTCGCGACCCATTCTCGGGGGGGGGGGGTGCTGCCCCCCCCCCCCCTCCCCTTCGGTACGCCACTGTACTATGTATAGGCGTACCGAAGGGGAGGGGGGGGGGGCTAAGAATGGGTCGCAAAATCTTTGAATGTTACTTACATGAGTGATAAGAAAATTTCGGTATCATGGGCCCGCGAAAATTTTGGGAAGCATGCCAAAGAAGTTTTCGGAGTGCATTCGCCCCTCCCCCCTCTCCCCGAAAGGGAATCCTGGGTATGCCACTGCTATGTATATCAAAGGCAGCGTCCAGGCAAGTCTGGACACAAGGGGATCTCACGTGGATAGTAATTTTGGGGACCTAACTAAGCCACTGCCCAACCGGCAGCTCAGGTAGTGCTCTAACGGCTGAGATATTCCCCTCGAAACTGGACCCCAGGATCGTATCGCATGGATTTGGCGCAACGCGTGGGTCCTCGCGCGAAACTGCCATGAGATGCGAATGCGATCCCGGAGTCCAGTCTGGAGGCGTATATCTCAGCCGTTAATGAGTATACTGCGCTGCCGCTTGGGCAGTGCCTTAGTTAGGTCCTTAAAATTACTTTCCACGTAAAATCTCCATAGGTCCAGATCTGCCTGGAGGCTGCCTTTAAGATGTAGCTTACTCACGATTGGGCCTTCAACAGAGCAAACTATGCATTTCTTCCCCTCACATGCAACAGCGAATATTTCCGATTCTGCAAAACAAATCATCTCACTCCCTAAGTCATCAGCAACCAAGCAATCGAATAATGCTTAACCGGCCTTACTTTGATCAAGGGCGAGTGCGTTGCATGGTCCAGCTTCAAGTCTCCATAGCTCTTGTTGTGATCCATCCGCACACAACCACTTGATCACAGCGCCGTCATTTGAACATGACAGCACTTGACGACCAACGCCAATGATGGCAATGTCTGTGACTGCTGAACAAACAAAACTGTGCAACTATACGGACTGCTGCACCGAAAATTCTGCAATTTCGCACCCATCTGAACTACCCCATGCAGAACAAGAAGAATCACATGCGTCAGTTGAATATTATAGCAAAGAACACAGCAATAAACCAGAGCGATGATACTGACCCATTGTATGCCCTTTGAATATTCGTGGGCACTGTCCTGTCTCCACCGACCACACCCTTACCGACATATCCATACCAGCTGACAGAACAACCAAACCACTAGGGAAGAACCGACATTTGTACACGTCCATGATGTGGCCTTTCAATACGCGCTAGAAAGATTATAAAAGAATTGTTGGGAGTTCAAACAAAATGGCTGGAACAATCGCATATCTCCGCAAAAACTTCTTTACATTAATTCCAAGAGAATTCATTTGTTTCAAAACAAAGAGAAGCACTAACAGACCTGCAGCGTGTTTCCGAGAAGTTCACAAGATATTATCAAAAAATTAATATAAGAAGAGTGAAGTAGAAACTTACCAGAAGACTTCCATTCATCACATTGGAGATGATCAGAGAACCACTGATATCAGACGATACAATAAGATTCCCTGTGCAGGAGATATCCATGGACTGAATGGCAGAGTCATGCAGATCGCGGATGTCGGATACCGGTGACAAGAAAGTAGTATTAATATTAGTCGATTCCACATGCAACGAGTTCTGTAAAAGAGTCACCATGGAAACAGAGGTTTTCCTGACAAAGCCAGCTTGCGAGCTGAGATGGAAGATACAGTACCCACACAGGTAAGCTGAACGGAGACTCGAATAGATGGATCGGCACAGATATAGTCGTCTCCCTCTTTTTCCACATTAGCAAACACAGACTTTTCGCCGTGTTTGCGAAGTCCAACAAAGAATTGTGGACGAGGCATTTCCCTAGAAAAAGGCACTCGTGATAACACACCGCAAATGCCTGAGTCCAGGTTAGCTCAAATGACAGAGCATGTATACTATGTGGGCCGATCTATGTGACAAAAGCAGTACAACTCTCTCTTACAGCTGCTGAGGACGGAGCAGAAAGGTGAAGCTTAGCGGAAACTTGAATTCTACGGGCAGCGTAATCAATATTTGAGTTACTCAGTGAAGAAAGTCTTTCCTCCTGTTCTACCTAACATATATATAGGGTCTCACTTTTGACCTCGTTAATTCATCGTCCAGAAGCTTCGCGATCCATCAAGCACCAATTGGTCTGGCTTCAACTAGAATAACATTAGGAGATGGGTCAACTACCTCTCTTTATTAATAGAGGATACGGTAAACCTGATAAGAGCGTCCTTGTAAACTAGCTGCGATTGAAGAAAATCTCGAAATAGTGCTGTGGAATTACTAAACTTTACCGTTGCCGATAAATGACTTCTTACGAACCTACAAAGCGATTCAAATGCTGTGATTGCGTTTTTTGACTACATTTCATACAGCACTTACTGTAACCAAGGGTAACTTATAAAAGCTTACAGTAAATGCAATACTTCTGTAGCATAAGCAATCCCATCTAATACAGTAGCAAGCTTCTCAGCTCTTTCTGACAATCTTATATATAAAGCTGAATGTCTGTTTGTATGTATGTATGTATGTCTGTATGTCTGTGTGTACGTATGTTCCGAATAGAAAATTCCATTTCTGAACCGATCCGGACCAAACTTGGCACACATACACTTCGGGCCCCGGCGGGTGTCATAGGCTACTTTTCGTTTCGATCGATATCGATTTTATCGATTTTTTGCAAAATTTGGGCTAGGGGGCTGGGATTTGGCACAGGGGGGTAATCGAGCATGCTGATTACGAATACAATATTAGTTTTCGAAACCGTGCATTACTTTTATCGATTTTATCGATTTTTTTGCAAAGTTTGAGCTAGGGGGCTGGAATTTGGCAGGGGGTGTAATCGAGCATGCCCCCGTGGGGTTGATCAGCATGCTCGATTACCCCCCTGTGCCAACTCCCAGCCCCGTAGCTCAAATTTTGCAAAAGTGGGGGTGATCAGCGTGCTCGATTACCCCCCTCTGCCAAATTCCAGCCCCCTAGCTCAAATTTTGCAAAAAATCGATAAAATCGATACTAAAAGTAGCCTATGACACCCGCCGGGGCCCGAAGTGTATGTGTGCCAAGTTTGGTTCGGATCGGTTGAGAAATGGAATTTTCTATTCGGAACATACGGCGGAGCCGGGTATGCCAGCTAGTTTTAGAATAACATTTGCTTTGATTTTCGCCAAATTTTATCGAAAGTTCATATCCCTCTGATAGTTGGTGTCACGTTTTAGAGACTCGTCATATTTCGCCGAAAATAGCCGAAAAGTGCCCAAAAAAGCCCGAAAAAGCCCAAAGCGTCAGAAAGAGCCGGAACGCAGAAAAGAAATTATGGTAGAATTCTGACGTTAATTTGACGTGCAGACGACAGAAAATGAAGCAAAAAGACTCGGTTGCGAAATCAACACCATGCTTTAGCGTCAAAAAGGAAGGGGACGCTCTTTCTGGCGCTTTTGGGCTTTTTCCGGCTTTTTCGGACGCTTTTGGGCTCTTTTCGGCGAAGTATGACTGGTCCCTTACTCTAAACCTAAACTGAGGTCAGCATCACATTATGATACCCGAAGATATGCGAAAGCTTTTCGGTTAAGAGAGTCGTCAGCAACAAAATTTCACCACATTATTTGGGACTCTGTATACACATGTCAGCAAGTCTGAGAGCCCCATTCAGTTACAAATGCACCAGATATTTTGTTGCGAATGCATAAAGGGTTTCAGGACTTCCTGACAAAGGAAAAACAAAAAGTAAGCTTACTTCAGCGCCATATCCCAGTCGGGCTGAACGAGCGCAGCGTTTTCCTTCACAACCTGATTTTCCGATTGCGATTCGTCGACTTCCATGGCTTCCCTAAAGCTAAATTTGTACATTTTCGAATGCTGCGCTGCAGAGAACTTAGTAGTACAAACGGAAAGATAGAGAATGGGCGCGCCCACGTGAGCCTACCATTACACAAGTTGTTCCCAAAAAAGTACGTAATTTTTATAATCTTTAAGATACTTATTCATGGGCACGCCTAGTAAAAGTCTAGTATTTGAAGATTATCTAGTACTTTTTGAAACAGAGAAGCTGCGGGCTCTCCGTTTTGTAATTTGCCGTCAATGCGCGTTTCGTGTAAGTGCACGAACAGGAAACTACAGTATAGATGTAATTCGTCCAAAAATGTGCGTGCCGCCAGTTTCTTGTCGTTCCAGAAAACCTGTTCAAACCTTATTGGTTCCTTATTAGACGGGTGAACTGCTGCATCCACATTTTCATTTGTCACTGTTTTTCGACTCTGCACAATCGTTCTGAAACGTTGTTTTTTAGGTTGTAACCGACTCACGAGGACCTCAACTATGTCTTTGAAACAGGGAACATCGGGAGCCCAATCTCCAGTCGCTTCCGAGAATTCATTGGGTAAAAGTTTTTTCTCTTTTGGAACTATCGGCAGGGGAGAACAGAGAAACATGACAAGTATGGGAAAACCGCCACATCTGTACCAACGAAGTTTTTGGAGCTGGATGGAGCTGTTCAAATTGTTGATGCCTTCCATTCGCTGCATATTTCTGGAATTAAACTGCTTTATAGGCATAGGCGCGCCGCAGTGTCAGTGTCAATCTTTCGGGTACAAGTGGGCCCATTTAGTTACGTTAGGTATACGGTAAAGGGTCAAAATAGCGAAGTTGACATACTTGTGCGGGGGATATTGACATGCTGCACACAAGTACGCATTTATTTGGAAAGGCATATCCGTGCAGATTTTTGGCAGCTAAACTGACTGTAAAGTGCAAGAGGTGTTTATATACAGGCAGTGCCTCGGCAGAATTTCGTCTTCCAGTTTTTCGCCTTTTCGGAACCTTTTCGCCATGAGGAATCCATGCTGGGCCTTTTTCGGAGCTTTCCAGGTCCGCATTTGGTGAAGATACGCCGGAAACCTTAGCCTTTCGCACCCCGCCTCCCTCGTTCCGGGCCCGTCCACTGGCATGTATTCCACTGATGCGGATTTGGAAAGCTCCGGGAAACTCATTTTTGCCGTATCCATGCGTTGAAAGTCCCATATATGGATTCCTCATGACGAGAAGGCTTTGAAAAGTTGAAAAAGTGGTAAAAGCAATTCGGTAGAGACACTGACTTTGACACGATGACGAGCTAACCATTTTGGAGCACATCAGAGTGGACTAAATTTCTTAATCCGCTGTTTAGGGATCGTTCAGACTGCGCACAAAGGCGCATGAAGGCGGACGAAGGCGCGTGTGAGTGAGTGTGCCTGTCGAGATAAACGAGACGAGACAAGACGCGCCTCCGTGCGCCTTTGTGCGCCTTCGTGCGCCTTTGTGCGCGGTCTGAACGATCCCTTAGACTCCTGAGCAGGCAGCGATGCCCTGTGTTCTATAAGACAATCTGACCACCAGTACTATTAACGTATAGAAAATACCTTAGAACTTTTCGTTTACACATGAAAAACTGATGCACGGAAGTGCTGGACTGGAGTCGGTGCGTGCATACGCGTGTATGCACACGGTCCCAACGGTTAAACACCATCAGAAGAATATGATACTGCAATGCTTACGGAAGATTTCTGGGGTAGTGTGGGTCAGTTTAGCGAGAAAAATCTGACAGTGCGATTTCTAGCAAATTCGAGATCTTGAATCTATACGTCAGATTTACGGTGGCACAATTACTGCAGAAGTATGATGTTCGTAATTTCGAGTGCCGTCCCCCCTTCTAGGCGAAATTTCAGCCAAAACTGTGATTCTGACCCGCTATCGCGTGCCTTCCATAAGTCAACGAAAGGGTCCTGTAGTAAAAAGGTGGTATCAAAATAATCAACATATCAATCCGTAGATCACTTTGAGAAGAATTCACATCTTCGAATGGAATTTCGAAGCTGCGAATTTCTCATATGTACTAAGCGGGGTTTGTGAAATAACGATTCTATTCATCAGCTCTGATTAATGAAGTAGGTGAACTCGTTGATACATTGTCAACTCATTCAGGCCGCGAATCTCACATCCCATTTTCTTCCTCTCCTTCTACATCACATCCGGCTCAAGCTAGCGCATCCCCAGCAAGAAGAAGCGGCTTGATGACTAGGATTTTCGGTTCGAGTCGAGATAAAGTGAGTTCTTACTCTCAAACAACTATAGCACGTAATGCACTGGTAGGTTCCGAAAGTCGTTGAGCTAATTCTATGCTGGCACGCGTATAAGCATGGGAAAGCTTGCTTTGTAAGTGCTGAACTTTCGTAACATCGATCAGCTTTTTCACTTGGACTGAAATGCCTTGTACGGAATCTTTGTCCTTCTCTTATGTTAATCATCATGGTTGCTGAGGTTGTAAATAAACATGATGCCAGTTTCTAAATAATGTAATGTAACTCTTTTGAACACTTAGCTCATTCAGACAAGGAATCTGTATGCACGTTCTTGTTATCTCATCCGATTCCGCTTCCTTTTCCACATTGAGGCTTTTGGTTTGAAGGCGATACCCGCTTCTTGGTTTCCCATTTGGACTGATGTTTGAGATGTCCAAGTCATTGGTAAAGTGACAGCCATATAGATCATGATCTGCTAGTCAGACTTATCGGTATTCCCTTTGTTGCGCAAGGCTGAAATTCACGGATTGGCGAAGCGAGAAAGCTGCTCCAGAATGTGGTTGCCTCAGGGGTCGCCACGACCATCAGCATGGATGGTTCGTAGGTGAAGAGTCCAGCTGGAGTGTACCTAGAGATGTCCAAAATCCGCTTTTCATTAAAAAAAACAGGTTTTGACGTTTCCAAATACTCAGGAATTTGTTTCTGAGCTCATTACTTGGGATCACTACGTTGATGGGCGTAACGACCTCTGTCGAATCTACATTTTGGAAACCCTACTTTTTGCAGAGGATCCCGCGCAGTCATTTGTCTCGTTATTGTATCGTATGAAAATCGTACTTGTTAATCTTCTTGATCTTGATTTGGCTGGACACGGTAGGGGAAATAGAGCCTGCCCACTCAGTGGGTGGTCCATATAATAATTATGGTGGAATCATCGATAACGGTCACAATGATAAATTAATTATGCTTTATCATCCACATAGTCATGCCGAATAGTGCCAAACAGAATATAACTTTTTCTGTCCTATTTACATAGAGGGTTATTTCGCAATGGAAATAAACCATTCCAAACTAACTTTAGCGAATAGCGAAAGTTTTGTTCATGTGTGGATTACACTCGTACGCATAAGCGTAGGCTGTCAACCAAGTCAAAAGCGTTGGTGCTGTACGCAAGCAATCCCTCTTTACCAGTGGCGTACCGAGGGGGGGAGGGCGGGGGGGGGGGGGAGGGGGGAGCGCCCCCCCTCCGAGAATGGGTCGCGAAATTTTTGAAAGTTACTTATATGGGTTATAAAAATGTGCAAGTGACTTGTTTATACTTGTAAATAATTAAAATAATTTTTAAAAATTTTTAAAATTCAAATTAGCCTTGTAAAAAAATTTTTCGGGGGGCGTGGCTGACACCACGCCCCCTTTTTCCAGATTTTAGGGGTTGGGGACCCCCAAAAATTTTCAGAAGCACCCCTAAAAATTTTTCGGAGTGCGTCGCTAACGCTACGCACCTTCATTCGAGAAAAATTTTTGTCGCCCCCCCCCCCGAGCGGAAATCCTGTGTACGCCACTGCTCTTTACTAGTTTTTAAAGAATTGATTTTAGGAAACTGCTCGACCGGTGAACCCCATAGTCACTCTTGAAGGCTCGATTACACAAAGTGCATGGGCCGGAATTAGTCGCAGCAGTCCCATGAAGACTCGCATCAAGACCTTGCTACAGTTGCAAGATGTGAGTCATTTTTCTTGGATTTGTAAATTATGATTTAACTTGGTACTTTGATACCGATTTTTCTCATTTTCTTTTGTACTCCAATTTTCGCTTCATTGTGGGGTTTTCATTTCAAATGGTTTTTTTGATTACTGCAATCGCTTTCAGTAGATTACTGTTCGCACATAAAATAACAGTCGTAGATTGTTGTGGGTTGAGAACTTCAGCCAAACTATGGCGCAGATTATATTAGCAGCACCTACAGAGATGGGGAGGGGGGGGGGGGGGGGAAGAGGTCTCGCACTGGTCGCATCTACTACGTAACTTTAGCTCGTCCACTCTCTCAAGTGTTTCTTTCGGACTGAAGCGTTACCTAGTCTGTTTATGCAAATAACAATTGCTCATTCTGTCACACTTGAAGAGACGAAGATGAAAGAAGGGGGAGAGGGAATCTGGATCAGTGCGCACAATCAATTTCAAGATGATTTTATTGGTCAGACAATCGCCAGTACAGAGGGATTCTTGAGAAATTCTGTTTCAGTGTGGGAATGCCACTCAAAACTTCCCTTTGGCAGTGTTTTGGTAGTGCACATCCACTCAGTGCCCACAGCCTCCCAAACTCGTTTTGTGGAAACCTAAAAACAGATTCTTCTTTTTCCGTCGTTTTCCCTTTTGCACACATCACATTCCAAGCGCTTGCTTACTCTCACTGTTCACCCGCTTGCACCCTCATTTTGCTTATGCATGTTGTGTTGCTATAATATTTTGTGTGTGGTGTGTTTTGGACTCGGCGATCACCAACGTCACCTCATGTGGATCGAAGCGACTCACTCACAAGTCGTCACACTGTGATTCGCAAGATGATATATGACATATTTGATCGGTTGACGGTACGTCCTCTTCAAACTTTGCTTTGCTCACCACTGTTTTACGCACTAGTCTTAGCACTATCTTGGTGGTTTGATGCACGTTTGATTGATGTGGGTGATTGGTTTTCTTTCGTCGTAGATTTGCCAGTGTCGTCATCTTATGTTCATCTCATTTTCCATACCTAGATTTTGCAAATTTGTTTAATCCGCTGCCGTTTTGCACAAATTGTGAGCATTGTCATTTTGGCGCTACAGTAACCTTTGTTTACCTATCCTGTTAGTGAAAGAGCTTCGACAATTCTAAGTTTCCGGAATTTTTGCAGTGCTATGGTGGGACTATAGCCGGCGTGTCAAGCAACTTGTCGAAGCAAAGAAACAATCTGCGAAATTTACTTTTGAGTATTCTAGTGGTTGTTGTGCTTCTTCCGCAAATCCTTTACATCTCAAGCCAACCGCGCGTATTTTGGTAGGCTATGTATCGTCTATTAGTTAATCATTGTATTTTGGGATTTTTTTGATTGCTCTCACTGAGTGTTGACGAGAATGCAAGTAAATGGCCATTTTTGCATAACTTGTTTCACCTATAATGAAAATCTTTTGGATTAGGAGATTTTCTGATTCGGAAAGTAATTGTGTGGATCTTGTAATTTCTAGGTGCTCAAATCACGAACTCTACAAGTATCGTCATTGGAGGGTATTTGGCACGATTGCCATGACATGCTCAACGATCCAGATACAAAGATTCCTACATTACGGGTTCTTATAGAAATGACCGAATCCCAATACACTTCGCTTGGACTGGCTTTGAGGCATACATTTTTCACTGTTAGTCCATTACATGCAGCAGTTGCAAGTTCTGACTAAAAGATCTTCAGACCATAAAAGAGATGGGTTGCGAGGAGTTAAGCGTGAAATGGCTAAATGTTTTGAGCGAGTATGGAAAAACAATTACTGGATTTGAAAAGGTGAGTTTTGGAAATATGTATGGCCGCATCTACTCGATATGATGTCTTTTTAGGATATGGATGTGCTAATCGCGTCATGGATCAATGAAACTCTTTTAGCCAAAGATCATCCCCAAGCTCTCTTGGTACTCCAGCTTGCGCAACATTTGATACAGTGCATTCATTTTTTTACACTCAGCAATTTTGGCTATCTATAAATCATATTTTAGGCACAATTCCGCCTTCATTGGTGAAGAATACATGAAATCCATAGTGCACGCTGTATGTATTAGAGCCTGTAAGACCATGGACCCCCTTATATCACACTGTCTCGATGTTCTTGACAATGTTTTGAAATATGGGTAAGGGTTTCGCTCATATGTGCTACACGTTGCTGAACTTTCTAGAGACTTACCTCCATCTGAGTTGATGGCTGTGGTGGCTACATTTTGTGTGCTGGTTTGTGAGAACAGGTTTCGAGAGCAAGCTTGGTCACTTGCGAGAGCTTTGTTAACCTCACAGATGGGTCAGAGGTGATTACCTTTACATTTTCTGAGCCAAGTAGGAGATGTCTCCTCTCTTTTCAGAACACGTAAAGCTCTCCTCTCAATACTGAATGGTACGGGTACAGGACAACGGCCTCATGGTGAACGTCGGGCCAATGATGAACCAAATGAGAAGAAAATGAAGCGGATGCTGCGTGGTGCTATATTTTGTCTAGCGAATGCGAATTGGGGAACAGCGGTTGGAGGCCTTTTTCTTGGTCATAGCTGCTTTTATCTTTCTCATTTAGCAAATAGATGCTGTGCGCTGCTCTCCTGCTAGTATAATCGAGCCTATGAGAAATGCTATTCAGGTGGATGAGACGATCTGTTATGGTAAGTTTGTTTCTAAATCTGTAACTTCTTACAGTAAGTGCACGTACCATCTCCACCCCTTGCCATTGACTGAGTGCCCAGTCTTCGAAAAATGCTGATTTTCCAGATGTCCTCTTCGATATTCGGCGTCTGATCCAAAAATATGGTCGTGATTTGCAGCATATGACTTGGATTAAACTAGTCGAATTGTTCGAAACCGTGATCGACCTTTGTGAGCAGGTAAGCTTGCCTTTATCAGAGTGTTGTGAAATGTTCGAATGGGAGGCGCCGTCATTCTTTGAGCTTGTCTATTTAGAGATCCGAATATGCCAAGACTTGTGAGAATTCGCTGCATCAAATCCTTCTGCTTACTGAGCAACTCTATTCGGACGGTCATTTTGGAGCACCACCTGATTTGTTGTATGACCTCATCGAAAAGTGTGCTGATAGGCGTCCTGATACATCAGTTGTGAAGCTGATACAATATAGGTCAATGGTAGGTTCAGTGCTGCAATAAGTGTTTTGGAGTGAACTCAAATCTCTCATGTAGAAAATAAATTCTCACCGTGGCTCGAGGACGTCCTTTCTAGTTTAGCTGTAGACTAGTACTCCTTGCGTTTATGACTTTTTGAAGTGCTGAAATCTGTTTTTTTTTTTTGGTTTGAGATGTCTTCTGAATGCCAAGATTGAACGAAAATCACACTGTCATCGTCGTCGAAAAGCTTCTCAAACCTTTATTTCCAGAACCTAACCCCGCTAACGCCAAACTGGATCCCTAGAATGCTGCAGCTGGTACGAAGATATTCGCATGAGTCTCAGCGACCTGAGAGAAGAAGCAAGGTATGCGTATCTTATATTTCTGCAGCTTTATAAAACGACGTCTTACAGGCATTGTCCGAATTGCATGCTTTCTATACGAAATACCGCCTTTTGTATGAGCACGAGCTTGTGACACAGTTGATGATTCCTGTGCTTCAAGATACGGAGAATGAGTCAAGCTCGAGGATACAGGTACGCATTTGCTCACTTCTCTGATTTGACAACTTCTTCACACTTACTTTTAGTACTTGATGATCAACATCTTATTCGATGTAGCTAAGACTGTTTCGCTGAGAGACGATGCTCGCTTATTTGAATCAGTAATGGGGATAGTAAGGCAGCTATTTATATCCTCCATTTTGCGGAATACCGTAGAGACAGCCATAGAAGACGAAGATGATGCAGAGACAGTAGTGGCGCCGACTAGACCACCACCTAGAGCGCCAGCACCGAAAGCTGGGTGTAAGTCAATGACTATTCGCCTCTAATTCATCTTTACATTTTGGAATTTCCAGCTTTGAGTTTCGATAACCTTGAAGTTGTTGCGCAAAGTTTGGGTGAACTTTTGTCGGAGCGTTGGCTCATGTTGAACTTGCACACGTTAGGAATAATTGTTGGTGAGTGGAATACCTGTCCTGTACTATCTCTCCAATTGAAGTTTTTAGATATTATGGTGGATCATCTGCAAGCCCAGTATAGTGCTGGCTGGACCGGCGAACAGGGCGCGGATGTGCGTCTACGAATATTCTCGGCGCTGCTGTCGATCCACTGCTGTCCTATAACTAATCGTTTGAGTAAGTGAACTTCTTTTTGATCCTTGTTAATATGGTGGAGATTGATATCGTATGCAGTCGCATTCAGCCTATCACGGTCTTGGTGAAGATTGGCCTCGTGTGAATGTGTACATAACTCGAGCAAACGTTGGTTCTTTGGAGAAAGAGCCTGGATTTTCATGGTCACCGATCTGCTCAGTAGTGACTATAGCGGCTAGGCAGGACACCTGGTAAGCAAAACAAGAGCTTTTCTAGTGAAAACTTTGTTGATTTAGGTGGCCTGTACTTTGTGCAATACTTCAACAGCTACGTCGAGTTCTAGAGCACATCGCTTTTGTGAATACTGCAACCAATGAGCAGGTGATCTTGAATTAGTCTATGGTGTACCTCCAATGATTCATTTATCCACCTCTATAGGTAGATGAGTTAGCCCAAGCGCTGATTGCCATATATCAAAGATCCGAGCTTGGCGAAATTTCGCAGTACTTTGATGACAATCTCCCACAAAGTGAAGTAGATGAGAAGCAATTGAAAGGCCAAATAGCCAAGTTTCTTCCGCCCATACTGTGCACACTGGTAAGCGTCGGTTTTGCTTCCTTACTAATTTTATGAGTCATGTTTGCTGATTTAGCTAAACTACCCATGTCGTCAGGAACTGCGAAATACTGAACTTTGTAAGATTTTGGTGGATTGTGTGGCGCAGGAAAGTATGGAAGTGGGTCTCGTGGTCCCCTTTCTGCTTACTTGCACGGGGGATTTTTCTATAAGATTCGTTATTCAGGCAGTAATTGCTTGCGACCTAGCAATCCAGCTGGCACCATCAGCAATGGCTGGCATGGCTTTGGTCCTGACAGAGGCGCTGTCGCGAATGCATTACAATGCAGTTCGAGCTATTCCCATCATGGAGTTGCTGTCAGATTCGGCTGAAATTCCTGAGTTTCATAAGTTCTTTCAGGTATGAGATACTGCAATAAAAGGTTGTTTCAGTCGAAGGCGCTTCTAACAGTTGCTGTCAAAGTTATTCTTCCAGGAGAGGCATTTCCGATCTATCATTGACACCTTGGCTCCTTACACGAATGTGCATAAGTTCAACACATTTATTGTAGCGTCGATACATCGTGTGATGATGAGATGGTTTTGTCACGTGCCGGATAAAATGCGATATAAAATTCAAAAGTGAGTTGCTTCGTTCTAAATTGTGGTATTAGCAATTTAGCACTTATGGGAACAAGGGCTGTAAGCGATTTATGCAAATGACGCTTCGAAATCAGTTTATCGTAGCAAAAATGAGTCGATTACTTCAATAGCTAGTATTAGAGGCACTTCATGCATCCTTCATCATTGTCAAATTTGTTTCTAGTCATATCGAGAACTCGGTGCGCATGTCTCCATTTTTATCCGTGCCAGATTTGAACTCTGGAGTATGCAGACAGCCAAGTGGCGATGGACGTCAGGTTACTATATACGCTTGCATTCATTTAGCTACGGGTAAAACAAGCTGCTGTAGGTCCCTGGTACTTTGTTCACCTTGGGTGGAAACGGTATGCCAGAGACGCCTCCTCCAATGGATGGAGCAGGCTCGAAGGAAGAGCGTGGTCCAGATAGGGTCAGCTATCAAATTCATTAGCTTTTTACTTCATGCTTGATCCTCGAGGGGTTTTTGAACTGATAACTTGCAGGTTCATGAAGAGATACTGCGAGCGATGTCGGTGTTTTTTCATATTGGGCAGATCGATAGCGATTGGGGCGATCCTAAGGTGGATTCTATTTTGCTTATGGACAGCAATTTTATCATTAATTTTTAATTAGCTCTTCCAGTCATTTAGATTCCTGATCGTTTGACCGAAGCCGCACAAGAGAATTATTTTGTAAACGATTCCATAATTACCGTTAGAACTCTTGTGGAGCATGTGAAAGAACGCGACAGGACTGACTCGGCATTGAAGGAAAGTGGTAGGAGACTTAAGCATTTGTAAAGATTTCGAGAAGATTCTAACAAGTTCTAGATGGTGATGACGTTTTTGTGTCGAATATCGAGCACCCAAAATCGTCCGATGTTGTGCAACAACCACCTACTTTCAATGACCAGGTTCATTTCCAAGATAGATTTCTGGGAAAGTTGGTAAATCACATTTAGAGACGAAGGCACCAGTCTGCTATACAGACTCGCCGGTACACAAACCCATCACTGGATGAGAATTCGAGAAAAACTGTCGATGACATGTATGCTACGGCTGGTCCTTTGAGAAGGAATAGCGTTTCTAAAGGTGGCATTTTCGAGTACATGATTTTACTTGTTTGATTACTCTTCTCTAGTGCCAATAATATCGTGGACCCAGCTGATAATTCGTCACATGTACGGTAAGAGCGGATGGCTTATGCGATCATTCGAGGAATGGCCGGCGGACTTTGACCAAAGTATGTGCAAAGATTTCTCTCAAAACTCTACATTAGTTGTTTTCAAGGCAATGCCATGCCAAGGCTAGCTTCAAGTCTTCTTCTTCATTATGTCAACCAGCCTGGTGCTATCAGACTTGGCAGAAAACCAAATGACGAAATTTTACAGCGATCGTTACGTAATTTGGATAGGGTAATGAGCTTGAACGATTGAAGGATGAATCGCACCATTGCATTGCAATTCAGATTCCGGGTATAGAATATCATGCAGTTGGTGTTCTATACATGGGAATGTATCAAGATACTGAAGCACAAATATTGGCAAACGTATACGGATCCGAGAGATACACGAAATTCTTGAAGTCGGTTGCAAAACAGCGTTTTTCGTGTTCTTCTTTACAAAGTTAGATCCTTTTGCAGGCTGTTGGGCACGCCTATCCCATTAGACAAACATCCCGGAGGACTGCTACCTGGACAACATGGATCCTACACTTATGAGTACCAGGATGAATTGAGCAAAATTGTTAGTTTGTCTGAATTTCGGTACCACGGCCATCTTTAGCCATATATTTGCTCTAGACTTTTCTTGTTGCTACGCTTATGCCGCAGGCGGAGAACGATCCTCATTGCAATATGAAGAAGAAACTTATAGCTAATAACTTTGTCTCGATTGTTTTCAATGAAAGTGGTGCACCCTTCAAACTGGGATCTGTCTGTGGACAGTTTGCACATGTGGCTTTGGAGGTAAGCTTTTGAAGCCGTGCTTTATCTCGTTATTTTTTCCTACTATAGGTCATCCCATATGATGAGAACAATGTGCTGTTGCAACTCCATGCTAAACAGGAGATTTCGTGCTGGCTGGCAACTCGCAGGGCGTTGCTGAACGATCGGTACGTTTTGTGAGATTGTTGACACCAGGTGGTTTCGAGAAGATCATTATCTATCTGTCAGTTTAATTGATACGCAAACGTGGACGTAAACAAAGTAAAAAGATCAGACCAGCCTGTCTATTTAGCAAAGTAGCCGAGAAAGATGATGAGGTAGATCAGGGTGACGTTGTGCCATCTTGTCTGTGACATGACCTCCCTCACCGTCACCTTATCGCCCTTTTGTGAATATTCTTCTAGATAGTTTTATGGATGAACTCTTTTCATGGAATTGGTTCGATTCAGATGTGCTGTTCGTCTGCTACGAAAGATGATTGTAAGGACCCAGCTGTCTGTAAATGTCTGGCGCAGCGTACAAGACAACGATGACCAGCCTTATATATCGTCAGGCGTTGACCGCTTGCGAAAAATCATTGCAATTCGAGAGAAATGTGCGATCATGCCACTACCCAGAGATATTCCTAGTCAAGAACCATAGTCATGTAGGGCATTCACGATTATCAAATCTGATTTCATCCCATACTTACCGTAGTCTTCCCATTGTGAATCTTCTGTGATGAGTTAAGTCAAATGTCATAGTTAAGTAAGTTCTGAGAAAAGGGTTTTCTTGTTTCATTTATGCACGTGTAACAATCAGTAATTTTGTTATAATTTCCTCAGTCATTACGAGTTCAACACGCGTTTTCCCACATTGTTTGTTTATTGATCTGTGTATTTTTTCATGTTTCATTATTTTTTTACGAGTCATAGGTCACACAGTCCCAAATGATGGCCTTCTAGCTTTATTTGTTTCTAATAGTTTTGATTGTTAAATGTTAAGCTAATACATCGCTCAATAAAAAATCAAAGCTTGTTCATAAAAGAAGCTGCTAGCTTTTTAGTATTTTCATGGAATTTCTGTTCCTCGTACTTTATTTTCATTCTGCTATGAAGAGCTGACATAACAATTTTCGAATGAATTTTTTTTTACTATTTTCTGGTCTCATAGAATCTATTTTCATTCAAAAGATCCATCAAGACTAGAACGGTATAATACATCTAGCTTACATCTAGTCACAAAATTCTCGCTTGTTTCTTGCAAACCTAATTTGACACTTGCGAAGCTTTGACTGATCTCACTTTATTGGAGATGTAAAGTTTTCGTTGTAGCCTTAATCGAATTTTATGAAGTGCTAGACTTAGGTACTAGTAGTGCTTTGGTTGACAAAAAAGTGCTAATTTATTTGGATTAGTAATTGATACGACTTTCAGATCTTTTAAGGAAATCCTCCAAGAACTAGTTATTGTTGTTTGAAGTCGCATACTTTAAATTGTAATGGTTGTGGCAAATTTTTTGAGGTTCACCCGTTAGCACTTGGGCAAATTCGCATGCATAGTGTGTATAACTTGAGTGGATTGATAAAATGCCCTATCTTCTGTGCATTCAAACTGTGCTTTCAGTGAGTTATGGACAGCTGGAGTACTGCTGAATCGCGTCGCGACTGAGATCGCGTGAAGTATGCCCGGCCCCCAAGGCATCGAATATACCTCGCGCGATTTCTTTGAGACCCCGGTGATACGCGATGGCAATTTGCCAGACGTCCGCGAAGCTACCGCGTGTGGAATTCAAGTGCCTAGGCGTAGAGCTTTTGTAATCGTATGCGTACATGCCAAATCTTGCTCAAAGAGAACGCGCCTACGGAAGATTATGAACAATCGTAGCGATTAAAAATCGCGCGGCAACGAGGTATGACCGATCCCTAAGACATTGCGCAAGACCACAGTTCGGATGGCTTTTATAAAAAGCAGCACACTTTAGACTCAAATACTTGTTTGGCTTGTGGTTAAATCTGATCAAATCCATGACAATGGCACCACATTTTTTCATGCTACAGTCACCTGCAAATTTTTAACATTCAGAATTTTAATTATCTCTTAATCCATCACTTCGGTATACATTTGGTACAAACGCAAACAATTTCTCAAATAATCTCACAGATTTTCGAGAGAACATTAGTGCTTCCCCGCAGTATTCTATGGCATTCCCAATTTTCGATTCTTTGATTCAACTTGCTTGGCGGCTGAAAAGCAGGGCTTCGTGACCTAATTAAGACTAGGTTAAATCTGATCAAATCCATGACAGTAGCATCACCTTTTTTCATGCTACAGTCACCTGCAAATTTTTAACATTCAGAATTTTAATTATCTCGTAATCCAGCACTTCGTTATACTTTTGGTACAAACGCAAATAATTTCTGAGATAATCTCACAGATTTTCGAGAGGACATTAGTGCTTCCCCGCAGTATTCTATGGCTCATTCCCAATTTTCGATTCTTTGATTCAACTTGCTTGGCGGCTGAAAGGCAGGGCTTCGTGACCTAATTAAGACTAGGTAATGAATAGAGAGCACGGGCGCGGGAGAGACGCAGACTGCGTCGCGGGCGCGCGCGTCCTTAATTTGGGTCACAAAGCCTCACCTTCCAGCCGCCAAACCGGTTGAACCTCTCTACTGCAGCGCGGTTGAACGAACGAAGTCGTATGCAAAAATGCATAAGAAATACCTTTGTAAATGCTTTAGTCAGCCGCATCGCTGACGAGGTTGTGATAAAATGGGTAGCACGATTCCTGGACTAATCTATAACTCCTTCATTATCGCAGTTCATTTTTTTCTTCGTATAGAGATGTCTCGCAACGTTGAAATCAAAGCAAAAGTACGAGATGTTGACAAGATTGTTGCTCTTGCGAGAGAATTGACTGGCAAGGAGCCAACACTCCTCAAACAACATGATATCTTCTACAAATCCCCGCAAGGGCGTCTGAAGATGCGCACTGTGGAAGAAAATGGCAAGGTAATTCACTGAATTTTTTCTTACAAATAAGGAACATGATTCATTGATAGGTTCGCACTGAACTGATATGGTATGATCGTCCGGACAAGGCCGGACCAAAACTGTGCAATTACAACAAATTCGAAGTTCCATCCGAGGTGCTTGGCGGTATTCAGGTAAATATTACATAGTTGTTTAAAAATCGCAAAAAATGTTTTAAAAAAGAGGGCGCAACTGGGGTGGTGGGGTGAAGTGAGAATTCCGTTGTTTTTTAGTTATAGGTACTCGGAGCAAACCGACACCAAGAAGGTCAAGCTCAAGTGTTTTGAGAAAATTCTTGCTTTTCTAAAGCAGAATTTTAAGCTCTCCATCAGGGGTCGGCATAGATGGCTTATGAGCAAGATGAATATCGTTTTTGAGACAAAAAACAAAGGGGATTCGTTTCTCTAGCCGAAAAAACACAACTTAGATTACTTTTCTTTAGTCGACGTTTCGTTTCTTTTAAGGGTTTTTTTCGTTATCCTTCAGGGTCAAAGGAAACTTCGTAAAAATAAGGGAAATTCAAGGGACTCCGTTTTTTTTTGCATTTTCGAGAAGCCTTCTCGTGCAGAGCCCTGTCTTTCACTCCGATACAGGGACTCTTCAATGTTTACAATCTAATGACTATTCCAGGAAACCCTGCGCTGCTCTATGGGTATAAAAGGAGAAGTAAAGAAACTTCGCACCCTGTTCATGTTTGACAGAACACGCATCCATATAGACAAAGTTGAAGGATTAGGAAATTTTATGGAACTCGAGGTAAAACTTTTCATTTACATTGTTGAAGCACTGTACAAATCTTTATTAGGTATGTCTTCATGATGGAGAATCTGTTGCTGATGGCGAGCGGATAGCAGATGATATCAGACAAAAACTTGACGTTAAAAATGAGGATTTGCTCGAAGGAGCTTACATGGATATGTTGGACGAAAATTTATAGATGAGATTCTGTTAGAATAGTCGTGAAGCACTTCGCATTAATTAGCTTGATGCAAAATCAATTCAGTTACGTCTATTTTGCGAAGACCACTACGGACTAAGGCTTCTGTCGAACCTTTTTAGTTCAAAGCAGTGAAATATATTAGAAACTAGCTGGCATACCCGGCCCCGCCGTATGTTCCGAATAGAAAATTCCATTTCTTAACCGATCCGAACCAAAGTTGGCACACATACACTTCGGGCCCCGGCGGGTGTCACAGTCCACTTTTCGTCATCGATTGACGTCGATTTTATCGATTTTTTGCAAAATTTGAGCTAGGGGGCTGGGATTTGGCACAGGGGGGTAATCGAGCATGCTGATTACGAATACAATATTAGTTTTCGAAACCGTGCATTACTTTTATCGATTTTATCGATTTTTTTGCAAAATTTGAGCTAGGGGGCTGGAATTTGGCAGGGGGTGTAATCGAGCATGCTGATCATCCCCACGGGGGTGATCAGCATGCTCGATTACACCCCCTGCCAAATTCCAGCCCCCTAGCTCAAATTTTGCAAAAAAATCGATAAAATCGATAAAAGTAAGATCAGCATGCTCGATTACACCCCCTGCCAAATTCCAGCCCCTAGCTCAAATTTTGCAAAAAAATCGATAAAATCGATAAAAGTAATGCACGATTTTGAAAACTAATATTGTATTCGGAATCCCCATGCTCACTTACCCCCCCCCCCTGTGCCAACTCCCAGCCCCGTAGGTAAACTCTGCAAAAAAATCGATAAAAATCGATAAAATCGATATCGATCGATGACGAAAAGTAGCCTATGACACCCGCCGAGGCCCGAAGTGTATGTGTGCCAAGTTTGGTCCCGATCGGTTCAGAAATGGAATTTTCTATTCGGAACATACGTACAGACAGACAGACATACATACAGACATACAGGTTTGCGGATTTTCTGAACGAAACGAGTATTGAATTTTCAAAGTTTTTTTTGGATTTCTTTCTTGCTCCAAGTAGGTAAAACCTTTTGCTATTTTTTTGAATGCCATCTTGTAGAACTTGCATTACTCTATCGAATGATATGTTACATACATTTTTATATCCGCTCTGAAGCAGCAGAATAACGAACGCTTATCCCTTTAGCATCAAACTAATGGTTATATCAGAAAAATCATTTCCTTTGAGCTCACACTTAAGATTAATGATGGCACAACCAAGTAGAAATCCAAAATCTAATTTGAAGAACAGAAACAGAATGCGAGGTAAAACGTTGAAGCAAAGGCTGCCTGTTCCTTCAACCTCATTTTTTATGGAATCAACTGTGTCAGATCATGAAATTTTCTGAATTTTGAAGGCAGTGAAGGGTAGTGTTCTGTTTTATTGATGCCGTCCTAATTTCAATTGAGCTTGACTTTGGCACTGTTTTCGTCAAAACTATTGAATTTGAAATTTCAGTCTGTCAACATATTATTCGCATAACCCTCAAACTTCGAAATGTATAATTTATTGTCGTCGGACACACCTATCACATATATTACCATTGTTTTCAAGAAGTACTTGCTTACTTGATTGCAGCTAAGATAGTGAAGGCACCGTTTTATGTTTCTAGAGCCCGGAGAAATATAAAAAAAAAACATAGCAAGGGTTTTGACTGCTGACTAGGAGCAAGAAAAGAGCTTTCAGGAAATTTTTGATGGTCTCTAGGGGAAAAGGATTAAAATGCAGTTTTGCACCAACCTAATAATTTGAGATGCTTCCATCTATTTTTAAAATTTCTCCAACCAGATAGGGGCGTTTTTAAAAGTGTATCACATTCTCAGGTTTAACAAAAGTAGGTAACGATTGCTTCAGTTTGTTGCATTTATTTGTTCCATATCATTCCACCGTTGCTTTTTTGTTTATCAGTAAACAATATTGTTATATCTTGCAGTTAAAAGCAGTTAATGAAAAACCATTTTTTAAACAGTTGGTCTTGTTCCTCCAAAGTAGAGAGAGAAGAAAAGCAGTGAGCAAATTTTGCGTATAAAACCAAATAGGGCTTCGCATCTATTTGATGAATCAGTGTGTTGTTCAAGGCATCTTCGAGCTGTACTCCGGAACCATTTTTATTTTCCGTAACTTTTAAATATTGTAAACGGCTATAGATGAGTGTAGACAATTGGTTGAACAAGAATAATAATTCGTCTTTGTGATGACTCTTCTCAAGCAGTGCAGAGTCTCTGAAATGATTTCGATCATTTTGAATCCACTCAACCATAGTTGAATGCACGGAATCGACCGGGCTGAACGCTTGCGAGCGTGTCTCTTGCGGACTACCATTGCCTCTTGCGCGCATGAACCATCATAGCGTCCGCGATCGGCACCGCGTTGCAGGCACTCTCGCGTGCGTTCAGCGTACAGCGACCCGGGCGATCTCGTGCAGTCGACTTTAGCAGCTTCAACTCTGCAAAGAGGTAGTATGAACTTTATTGATAGATGCCAAAATTTGTTGTGCAGCGGTTTAGCCGACTGCGTCATGCTTGGCACATGTTTCAGATAATCAGCAGACCTTTATTGTTTTTGTCGCCTCTATAGAAAGATAAATGACTCCAAACTTTGTAAAGACGAGCAGTGGAGAAATCGGCGAACATTGAAAAAAGGGAAAAGGAGCTTATATGACGGTGCCGTTTTGTTCAATATCACCCGGCTCGGCAAGGCTTTGTCAAGAATACTTTCGTTATTGGTATGCTCACTTATCCCCTTGTACCAACTTCCAACCCCGTAGCTCATACTTTGCAAAAAATCGATAAAATCGATGTCGGTCAATAACGAAAGTAGTCTGCGGCACCTGCTCCACACCGAAAAGTATGTATGCCAGGTTTGGTCCAAATCGGTGTAGAAACAAAAATTTCCATTCGGAACTTACGAACATACATACCGACTAACATTCAGTTTTATTATAAGATGTTTAGATTAAAGGTATTAGAAAACTTAGAGACGGGTACGCATGTGAATTTTTTAAATACCAATGAATTTTTTTCACTCTCGCTTTTCCTTATGACAGGGATGTAATGCATGATTGCATGCGGCTTTAGTCTATGTTTTGTACAACCGTATATAAAAAAGGCCCACAACATCTACAATTTATGTCCATAGCGTTTTCCCTTTTTTGCCTCTCCTTATAGAGTCGGCATTCTGTTTACAGCAAAGAAATCGACTTACAGCTCTTTTAAGGTCTTCTGCGTTTCTTGCCAAAATTGTTACGTGGCTTAGGTACTATCTCAAAGTATACATCTGATTCACAGCTGCGTTCACCAAGAGTACTCCGCGTTTCGTTTGAAGTTTTCTCACTTTGAATCTGAAGTAGTTTAATTGAGCTGGTACTGTTTTTTGTAATTTAGAGTGATAGTCAAAAGGAGCAAGAGCTAAGCGTTCTTTATTATTGATTTTCATGTAAAGCTTGTATTAAAGATTAATGGGATTAAGGATTATGTTTTCCACAAGATCGCACTAATCGTTTTGCGGCATACTCACTTGAATAGCTTACCCGCTAACTTACCAAAGCCCTCACTCCAAATTTTGGAACATCAATGTGTTTCTACAGGGCCCGGCGCGCAGGAGGAACCGGATGAAGCTGCATATTGTTTCTGGGGAAGGAGGGAACAAACGGGATATCCCATGCTCAGCCATCCTTGAATCTTGGCATTTTATGTTCAGTATAGAACAGTTCTCAGTAAGTTAGTAAGCGTTCCCAGGATTGTTATCCGTTTATCAATACAAAGACATCAGCAAGCAGGTCGACGTTTCGGCAGGGTCGATAGATTCGACGCTCCAAGGGGTAGACATACCTTGGAGCGTCGAATTTATTGACTAACTTTCCACGTCTTGAAAAAGGCGACCCTGCAAACGTCGACCTGTTTACTGATGTCGTTGTATTGTTAAACGGTTAACAATCTTGAAAACGCTTACTAATTTACTGAGAGCTAATCTATACTGAACATAATGGGATACCGATCTTGCGAGATCCGCGGAGAAGAGCCGCAACATGCCACTGGCATGCTTGCGGCATCCATCCATGTACGCGGTACCACAAACAAATAACAGAGTTGTTTACAGTTAAACGCAATGGTATGACACAAAATCCCTTGCTTACATAGTTTTTCATACGTCTTTGCATAAATTATACGTTCAGCGTGAAAGTTTTCATACATGCAAAAAGCCATTTCATAATCTTTCTTACAGGCTCTTCAGCGCTCAAAACATTTTATGGGTGGCGGTCAAGAATAGCGATAGCTCTGCCAGCTGCTAGCTGCCAGCTGCTCGCGCGCGCAGAACAGCCCGCCCTCACTCATTCATGAAGTTGAGAAAAAATATTCAAATTTCACTTCTCTCCATTGAAGTTAGTTTCCTATAGCGACCTAAGAAACTAACATATTTCACATGCTACATTGAGCCCAAGACATTTCTATGCGTCTTTATGGCGATGTGGTTGCTGATTATTCCATCTGTAAAAAATGGCAGAAGCCTTAACATAAAGCATTTTTGAAGAAGAATAAAGCTCTGGGCATTCACTGCTCCAAAATTTGGGCCTGCGTGAGCTCGTCCGCTGCTGGGGCGGTGCTACCTGTGCACCATTTATTGACACCCGGGCACTCAGGGTGCCACTTTTGCCAGCTATCGTTATTCTTGACATATACCCCATTTTATTGGCGGCTCAATCTGCTCCGATCGCAGAGCGTGCCCCTAAGCAATTCATTTTCGCCTTGTTTACGCTTTCCATTCTATTTCCTTTTTTCTTTTTCTATTCTTTTTGTCATACATATTTGCTATCTTTCTCGGGGAACGTTGGGGAAGGTGGATGGATTGCGGAGAGAAGAGGGGAAGTGGATAGCGAGTAAGGGACATGTGGGGACCGGTAATTTCAGGCTCCGACCTTGTAGCAAAACGCGTCCGGCGCAAATCTTGTTTATCTTCTCTTCAATATACAGTGAAGGAGGGGATTTTAGCTTTGAAATTTCTGGATTGACGATAGCGCAAGCTGAAAGACAAGTGAGATGTCGTGAAGGAGGGGGGGGGGAAAGGTCAAAGGGGACTTCGTAAGAAATTCAAAGGAGCTTCGTTTCATATTTAGCACTAACAAATTTAGCATAATCTTTCATGCATCATGCGTATATGTTAACTTGAAAGCTTGCTAATGGAATTTACTCGAACATGTTTTCAGAAAATCGACGTAAATAGAGACAAAGCTTTGAGAAATAAAATGGCTTAATGAAATGCTGAATGGAAGCGCTTTTTTTGTTATTTTGTTTTTAGTTTACTTTTAATTCTATCTAACGAAATGGAGTATGTCATGCGTGCTGCAGGCTGCGTTTCGCGTTAGTTGTTTGACATCGAAGCCGTTCAAAAACAAGCCTTCATGTCATATTTCAACTGAAGAACGTATCTTATTGTTAGTGAATGAAGTGCAGTGGTTCAAAACAGAATCGCTTTTACCAAGAGAACTTTAGATCTATTTTTAGATTTTAGATTTCAGTTAGAGTTGAGATAATAAATTCTTTCAAACGAAAAAACAAGATTCTCTGAAAATCTCGGCTTACCCGTAATTTTGTTTTCTTCTTTGAGCGGGGTTTCGATAGCGTTGATGGTTTTGTTACAGGTAGTGGGGCCTCCACATTACAATCATTCTGAAACAATTTCTTCAATACACGCTGATTAATAGACCACTCAGGTTTTCATCAAGTCCCCAATATTGCATGGATATGAGAAGCAGTAAAATAATTTGCGGTCATAAGCGCTTTGAGCATACACCATAAAATTAACCGCGTTTGCAGCAATATTCGCCTTTCTAACTAAAAATCCGTGTATGCGACTAAAACTCTATTATGTTTTGTAATACTTTAGAGGTTGGCATCCTCAGTGCCCATGATCCCCGTAATAGCTCTGATGATCATGCAGGCTTTCGACTCGTCTTGCTCTGCCCACTGAGTATTGTGTCGTTCGCAATTATTCTTTCATTTTTGAAGTAAACATAGAGAAGATATGTTGCTTGAGACTTCAGTATTCAGGTAAGCAATCGGTGCTCTTACAAATTCTCATCTGCAAGTTTCTCCTAGCTGTACTGAAATAGAGTGGAAAGGAGCTTAGCATCATGACTTAGTGCGTTATAATAACAAGATTGTCAACTTTGGGTTACAGCCTTACAGCAAAGGACACACTCAGATTGAGGGCTGAAGGTGTCGTGCTCTACTGCAACCTGTTTCAGTTCCTAGTCAGGAAATTTCAACGAAAACTACTGAGGAGACGATAACTACATCAGCAAGCTCGAACGCTGGTAACGACAGGTATAGCTCAGCGAGCACTTAATGCAATGATGTCGGAAGAAAAGACCTCTGCAAGACGCTGCTACCATTCACCGCCCTGGAGACAGCGTTCAGGCAAGTTTGGACAAATGGGGTGGGGGTATCTTGCACTTCAAAACTGATTTTGAGACTTGACCAGGACAGATGGTAGCGCGGCTGATGTATTTGCTGCTGAGATAGTCTTATACAGTGCCCTGTGTAGGGGTAGAGGCGAAGCAAGACCTCATTTTATCATAACTTATAATAACGGGCTAAGGTTGTTTACGTGTTTTTGTGTGTGTGTGTGTGTATGTCTGTGTGTCTGTCTGTAACGAAATTCGTAGAGCGAGTTCCAGCCAACGTCCTGAGCCCAAATTTTGCACATCGCATGCGACCAACATAAGAGCCTACCGTGCAAAAGCACGAGTAGTTTTGTTGGATGGACCCCTTAGAAAATGCGCGTCAAACGGAACCACTTGGGTTCTGGCCAGCAAAGTTGGTTCCGTATCACCACTTTTTGCAAAGTCGGAGATGTGTTTGGCATGCTGATGTGCAAGCCATGAATTTAGTCCAAAAAAGTGGACAAAAGTTTACTACTTTACGAGAACGACGCCAAAAAGAAATGGTTGCGTAAATGGTTAATTTGCCATGGTTTTACCTGAGCATTCGAGAAGAATTTTGCACAGAGATGTAGCTCACGTTGCCTACTGTCCTTATGGCAGCTATCAAGCCAGAAAGAGTCCAAAAGCCTATTCAAATTTGTATTTGTTCTTCTGCGAAAAGTTTCATCCACGCGAAAACACCGGTCTTACATGAAAAAGCAATTGGGATGGATAGTTGTTTACATTTTACTCGCGATAATCGGCACTGCGCGGTGAGTTTCATTGCCATCATTAGTCAAGAATGAGTAAGGCATATGAAGTAAGACCAGTGCGAGCCTCTGCGAAGCAGAGGTGACGCACTGGTAGTATATAATATTCATCTCCAAACGAGACTCTGCTACCTAAGGCAACCGTAACTGGTCCCTCGCCGAGGCATGCAAGCCGATGCAAGGCGTACTGTGGGAGACAAGTGCCTGGACACTCTGTTTTGCTTTTTGCAAGAATCATGCTATTTGCTGAACATACACTTTTGCCCCTGGAATGCGCGTTCTCAACGCTGCACTTTTAATTCTTTATTGCGGTTTGCCTTAATGCTTAATTTAGCCTTTACTTTGTCGCTACAACAGCGTTCTCTACGAGATTTACACAAACAGCGTCGAATCAACAAATATAGCTAAAAGCGCTGATAAGAGCGATTTGTCACTTATCTTTTTTCTCTCGTTGGAGTACGCCGATGAAATAGGTGTCAATGGTTTGTGCAATTTTCCTAGCTTAACCGCAGCCTTTCAATGACGTGCTATTATATACTTGTAGTTGTACCTTAGGTACATAATATGTCATCTCTTTTCGCATTACATTCTATCACTGTACTGATGTTGCAACTCGCCTAACTTAATGAAGCTTCTTCTAAGCTATTATGGGGCCACACCAGTGAATATCCTACTCATTCTACTAAGCGCTGCGACACGGTTCTGCTAATTCACCTTGAGCAGCGCTCACATCGCAAGTTGTAACAGCAACCCCCATCACATTCTAAGAAGTTGGAATAACCTTAGATCACCGTTTTTGTTGCAGGGTATTCCCCAGTACATCATACTCGTGATAGACTTCAAACTGTTTTGACATTTTGTCAGCTTGGAAGGATATAATCAATACGGACTGAAGCGGAATGCAGTTTTCACTGCATAACACTGCTCATGCAGGGAAGAAAGGTGTCAAAGACCAGAAGCTGATATTTTGTTACACCTTTTGAAACAGTTTTAAGTTCAATGAAGTGCATACCTATTGCCAGATAATAGATTCTAACCACCTTCCAAAATTTCAAGTACGAAAATGGTCTGCTCTTTGAGCAGACCTTTATCGACCTTGATTGCAAGCGTTTCAAAGGTTCCGTCTATGGGCACAATGTTGATCTAGTTCAACACCCCGGCAATTACGAAAATTGATTGGGAATGTACAATTGTAAGGGGTGTAACCATAAAAATGAGCCAGCATGCATGTATGCAGCATGCTAGATCACTCCCAGGACCATTCGCTAAGGGCCCAATACAATGTTTGGTTTTAACAATGAGAATTTACAAGTTCTAAAGCTCTATTTCTCACCGTTGTAGTCTTGATTACATTGCTGTTTCGATCAACTTCTAAAATATCAACCATTTGCGAAGATGAGGCTATGTGGCTTGAGCTAGCTTACCATGCAATGCTTCACTAAGATATCCAGCTTTTTTTCGTTGGAATTTTCTCTCATTTCTAATGGCCAAAAATACTACAAAAAGAAGGGCGAAAAGGGCACACACCAGTATCAGGGCTGTCACGAGTAATAGTTCAACGCTGGAATTGAATGGAAGAAGAATTAGACATTTTTTCCGAATACATAGCTATTGCTGTACAAATTAGTGAGCATTACAAATGTCACTCATCATACATGATTACCTGATAACATTATTATAATGATGCAAGTGCACATTAAGTGTTGAAGGCGGTTCTGTTCTGAAAGACGCAATGATAGCATGTAAGGGCATAAGAAGTGATATGAAAACCACCTTTGCTGCTTTTCTGGTGCAAGAGCTTCTTCCGCACTGAAAAAAGTATTCAAAGAATTGGTTGTAGTTATTATAAGTAATCAACTATTTTTCGGCAAGCTGAGGAAAGCTCAAGCTTTCAACAAGCAGAAAAGAAAACAAAGGAATTAGGGCGATTATGGAGGACAGATAAGGAGTGACATTCTGTGATTAGAGTAGATATCTATCGCGTGAGCCATATTCAGCTGCTGTAAGGTTCTGGTAAAACCTTATAAACCTTATAACCTGTTTTCAAACATTCAGAAGGATTATTGCTATTGATGACAATGAGGATCAAAGTTTCTAGACAGTACCATACAATTCTCACTGTGTTTACCATGACTTTTCCTTTTCCAACTTTTTTCTCTTTGATTATGACTATGACTTGAGAAAGAAAGTGTAATATGTTGGTTTTCAGAAAGTTTTCTGCATTGCGGATACTCTACTACACTGAGGTAATGGTCTACATTTTCAAGTGTAACCACATCCTCTATATTGTAACGGGGGGGGGGGTTGGATTTAGTGGTAGGATCTGATCGATGAAAAACATGGGTTGAGTACATGATGAGTAATTCAAATGGTACAAACTAACGGGGCTTAGGCCCGATTTGCTCTTTTAAAGGGTTTTCTAGGCGATCTCTATCTAACAGAGGTTCGCCTCTCTGACGGCTCGTTTAAACTCTCGAGAGCATCCTCTTCGCGCTCTGGCTGCTCCCCCTGGCCACTCGTATCCCTGCTGAGAGGTCATATCGGCCTTTATTTTCCCGCCATTAAAGGTTGGTAGGTGATTCGCGCTATCCCACAGCATTATTCCATGTAACCAACTCAAAAGCAGCAACTGAAGAAGCTTTGTGCATGATACTTCAAGTGTTGACTGCATCAAAAAGATCTGTGCACATCACGTCAATAATTCTGACACTTTCACGCGAATTCCATGCAGTTAGGAAATGTTATAAGCGAAAAACTATAGCACAAAACACAGCCAGCACAGTGGCTGAACAGGAAAGATGGCTGGCATTTGAAACTGACGTGAATCTCTCAGCTTGATCGACCGCCGATCTTTAAGCTTGGACGAATTGCGGCGTGATTGAAAATGTATTTTAAATGATTTGTTAGAGTATAAAATTTCTAGAATGTTTGCTCGGGTATTGGCTATCATTCACGAAAGCGCCACGGTAAACTCACCTGCTGTTGCTCTCTATATAGTCAGTTTCAAAAGGCCAAACTCGAGAGCTCTCTGTAAGCGTGCTCTTACCAAAGTCATAGGGTAATAAAGGAGAGTCTTACCGTTTGCAATAACTTCTGATAATGATATGTTTTGTTCCGTAAATGCAGTCTCTTCAGTGTTCCCACTAGCTATGGTAGTTGATGGTGAATCAATGTTATTTTCTGTAGAAGCAGCTAGTGCAGCTTCATCACCTTCAGATAGAGTTTTATGTCTGCTCAACGTAGGCATTTCTTCTGTTGCAAGAGAAGATGAGGATTCCACATCGATGGGCTCAGAAGTACCAGATCCATGACCAATCACTTTCTCTTCATTTGCGATTGTGGTGGCAGCACCTTCGTGGACTGTGGTGGTTATTACAAGAGTCGTGGAACTTTCAACAAGCTCAGATTGCTCTGTTGCTTCTATGGTGTCTGCTATTTTCAGCGCCTCCTCTACTGAACGTAGTACATCTTCAGTGAATCCATGAGATTTGTGAACACTCCCTGTTGGTGCATCTGCTTTTGTCGAGGCAACAATATCACTCTTTTCTGTTGCTTTAGAAGGTTCTTCTGTTACCACTATGGTAGTCATACGCTCAGCGTCCATGTGGCTAACTCTGCCGTCCTCTGTTCTCTCAGGCAAGGATTGTAATGTTGCTTTCACGGTGTCTTTTGAATCCTGTGTAGCATCATCATCATCGTCGTCATCATCATCAACATCATCAACATCATCATCATCATCCGTAGGTGCTACACGTTCTTCGTCTATTTCCTGAGGCAGGGTTTCTGTTGTCACCACCGCAGTGGGTTCAGCAGGAAGAACAGTATTTAGCTTAGCTGAGACAGGTTCGCTTATGTTGGTGGTCTCCAACAGGTTCGGCAACAAGAATATATTGACAAATGCTATGTTCCCTTGCGATTCGTTCGAGCTCAAGACTTCTTTTGAGCGCATTAACCTAGAGATGGAGTTCTGTAACGGTCCTTCTGTGTTACTTGCCAAGATTATCATTTTTCTTGAGAGAACCATCTCCGGCGTCTCTCTCCCTATGCTTTTTGCAGGTTCTATAGAAGTTGAAAAGGCTCTTTCTCCAATTTCTTCTTTCTTTCGCGCTTGCTTTCTTTGCAAACTTTTGTCATCCGTTACTCGGAATGCACTTATTTGCCTTGCAATGTTTGTCCTAGAAAGTGGTCTCCGTTTCGCTTTTCCGCTTATCAATGCAGAAATTAGAATCCTTGTTTCGTTCGCTTTTTTAGTTCTCGCTTTTGAGTGTGTGGTGAAATGGGGCAAGAAAATTTTAGTCTGTTTCTTTCGTCTTTGCCTTTCTTTTGAGCTCATAGTTTTTAATAGGAATTCTTTAGTCGAAGCTGTTGTCGTTATGCGAGCTACTTTAACGTTTTTGGTTTGCACAGTTTTGGATTTTGTAGTATGAGTCTCCAGCTCCCATGTTTTCTTGATCAATGCTTTTGTTGGTGTAATATAACGATGTGCGAGATCCTTAAGTCTTTTTATCTTCAGTGTTTTCCGCATCTTTTCAAAATCTGAGGATTTTACTTGCGACGACTCTGTGTAACCTGCACTGCTTCTATCAGGGACGTTGTAAAATATGGCTTGCTCAGTTATAGCTTGTTCTGCCATTAAACTGAATTTTGATGCTGCGTTTGTTTTTTCCTTGTCATATCCCCTCTTTGACGCTTTGTTTTCTGATTCAGATACCTCAGTTGAGTGCATTGTAGGAGCTACGCTCGTACGGTAAGCTTCAGGATTGTTCTCCGATTGCACCGTCGGATTTCCATCTGGGTAAATCTGGGTTATCCGCTCTTCGGTAAGCGAAGGGGTAGAGCTTTTAAGTAACTCTAGCTCAAATGGTTCTGGTTCCTGTGTGGTCATTTGTTCCAGCTCAAATGGTTCTGGTTCTTGCGTGGTGTCTGTCTCGCTATCGGCACTCCCGACTCGCCCTTCTTTCCTTGCTGCAACAGCTTCTACTATCCAGCCGTTTTCTAATTCATATAGTTCTGGTTCTTGTGTGGTACCTGTTTCACTAGCGGTATCTATAATTTTCTTGTGTCGCACTCTTTTCGGCATCCAATTTTTTCTTCCCAGCGAGCTTATCCTTTTATACATATGTTGTGGGGGTATCAAGTACACATTTTTTCCCTTGGAAAGCTGTTCTTTTTGTAAGCTTCCAATTTCTGTAAGTGTTCGCTGTTTATTACGGTTATAATTTTATATTGTCAGCTAATTTACATCGAAAATTAACTTTGCTGCAAGATTGATATTGTGTGCAGAATCAAGAACCGGAGCATAGTGGTACTAGCGTTTTTTTTTTCACAGCCGCGTCTACCTTATAGCGTAGTACTATTTTGGGCTTTATTACCGCGTTCTTAACTCTTCGCGATCTGACAACCGCAAAAAATTAGCATTTAGGCTTTGCCCATGCATTGACTGTCTTTCTCGTTCTAACCTTTGCCCATCCTCCACATCTCCACGTATGATACATCTTCCTGGGTGAGTGGATGATTGCGGGTGCGCTCTAAGGTTCTTAAAATTCATTTGAATGTAAGGTTCCAGAACTGAGCTAATTGGCTTGTAGTATCGTAGTGGTGATTAAAGTATCGCTGGACAAATCTTAATTTATGATTATCAAATCTAGAATTTCAAATTTCAAGATTAGAAATTTAGAAATTTATATGAGCTTGTTCATCATCCAATCCACCCAGAAAAATCTCAGCTCCTTTTTGCCTGTTCACAATGATCCACCCAATTTTCCTCTTCCATGTTTTCTCATTCTGGGGCCATTCCGAGGCTCTACGATTCAAAGTGCAAAAGTGCAAAATTTTCAAAAACTCGATGGAAGCTCTATTCTGAAGGACAGCCAATTTTCAGTACCTGCGTGGGCAAAGCTTGAGAGGGCGGGCGTGGCTTGACAGCATAACAAAAGATGGGTATAAGATGAAAAGATAATGGTAGTGTAAGGCCTCGCACAGAGTTCACGCGATTTGATCGTCGCGATTCAATCGCTACAAGACAAATGTTACGAGTTCATTGCATGCCTATTTTCTTGTATATCGGCTGTGATATTCACTCACGATAAGTCGTGTTGTGTTGGAAAACTATCACAGTTGAAATGCAAGAAGATCGGCATGCAATGGCATTGCTGCACTTGTCTTGTAGCGTTGAAAAGCGACGATCAAATCGCGTGACTCTGTCCGAAATCTAACATTGGCGTTAATGTAAAATTTTCGGGGTTTTAAGTCCTTTTTTCCATTCGAAGGCCACATTAGAACCGGATTACGCAGATGTTCCAATTCCTTCTTGTGTAGACTATGTGTTAGACAGGGGAGTATAGATTTTGCTTGAAGCCTCGGGCAAAGTTCCCGCGATTTAATCGTCGCGATTGATCGCGACGACAACTGTAACAATATCATTGCATGCCGGTCTTTTTGCATTTCGGTTATGATATTTATGATATTTCCAATACGACTAATCGTGACTAACTATCACAACCGAAACAGAAGAAGATCGGCATGCAATGAACTCGTAACACTTGTCTTGTAGGGCCCCGGACAGACTTCACGGGATCTGATAATCGCGACTGAATCGCGACGAGACAACTGTTACAACATCATTCCATGCCGATCAACTTGCATTTCGGTTGTGATACTTTTCCAGCCCGTTTTTGAATGTGAAATGAAAATGAATGGAAATGTCGGCGAATGAGTCGCGACGATCAAATCGCGTGAAGTCAGTCCGGGGCCTAGCGATTGAGTCGCGACGATCAAATCGCGTGAACTCTGCCCGAGGCCGAACGCCGCCTTTAAGAGTGAAATGATTTTCTTCAGACACTTCAATGACTAGTCGCTATTTTCCGAAGAGCAGAAAACATTGAGAAGCTGCTGAAAGCTTAACATACGTTGTATTAGTGGCGTTATCAGGCAATCTTTCGATAGTAGTTCAATCAGAGGATTTGCCAGTGTGTTACAAATCAAACCTTGGCTTTGTTGGGACACTATGCAAAGCCTTAGATTATCTTGAATAAATGCTATTGAATAAACAAGGAGATAGCGCATGGTCGTTTCCGTAGTCTCTTTTAGCGTTTCACGTGCAATCCTTCAGGTATAATTCAACATGTTATCTAACAAACGCATGTTGCCTGGAACTTAATTGCCAGCCTTTAGCTTTTCTCAACAACGAACAGCTTCGTACTGAACTTGCATGGGACGGACTACTTACTTGTTCTCCTCCCTAATGCACCCCATATTTGGCCGTCGACCTGAAAGTGAAAGATTACTTACGCAAAATAAAGTGAACGAACCGAAAGCAGGAGTATGCTTAGTAGGATTGTTCGAGTCAACCGCATAGTGGAACAAAAACTAAGAATAGACTTTACCCTCGTACTAAGTTAGATAAACACTACGTTTGATGTGATCTCATTATTGCACTAGCATTACTTTGAACAGATCCTACAATACTAGCAATCTTCGGGTGGAGGACTATATATCGCCGAAAAAGGGCGGTCCCCGCGGTCATTTGCGACAAACACGCACCCTTGTACATGCGCGGACATGCGTTCCTGCGGGGAATCCGCGTGGGATTCTTCCAAATTCGGCGACATATAGTCCTTCACCCGCAATCTTTAAGGCAAGAACATGTGCCTTTCTTTCAAAACTCTGAAGGACAAATCATGATGACTTACAAGGGAAGCCCTTTTTAGTCTAAGTGGCCTTTCCACATGAATGTCAATAGAGGCATCTTTTCAAATACTGGCAAATCTGCTTTGCTTCTTACGCAACAACCCTTCGAAAAGTTATGAGCGCTCGAAAGTTCAAATTTGTCATCCGTAAGTGGCGAGCTGTGCAAAACAGCTGAAAGTAGGCATCCAAATTCGTATCAAGTACAGGGTGTCCCAAAAGGTGTAGCTACTGTTTGATTGTAAATAACTCTCTTGTAATGAAGTATTTCGAGAAGCTTTAATTACCATTTTGTGGAGCGAGGTTAAACTTACAAGGGAAGCGTGTGTAGTCGAAGTAGCCTTTCCAGAAGAGACCTATATTGCTTTGAAGATTAACCGGTGATTTAAAATCTACCTTCGAAATCTGCCAAGCGCCTTTGGACGCCGAATTATGGGCGTCTCTAAGGTCAAAAAATTCGACGCAAAACTGAAACAAAATCACCCAAATTTGCTCAATTAGTCCAATGTCAAGTATCATAGCCCTTTATGCAATGGATACATTTTATGTAATATGCTAATACTTTACATTGCTTCATCTGAGCACTTTAAAAATTGTAATAGTCAATTTTACCCAAATTCTGCACCCATTTTTCGTTCCAAAAACGGTCATAACTCGGCGTCTAGAGGGGCTTGGCAGATTTGGAAGGCAGATTTGGAATCACCGTGAAATACTCTTTAAAACAGTATAGGTTTCATCTGAAAAGGCCACTTTGATTAAACACGCTTCCCTTGTTAGATTTACAGTATGGAGCGAATTATCGATCGCTCTTCATCACTGTAGAGTAAGAAATTCCAGCACATGGAACGAACCACTGTGAATTATACCACCTAACAAAATTTTTTCGCATAAAATCTGAAAAACCGTGTACTAGGGTTTTCGCGCACGCTGATTCCATCTAACAACTTTTTACGAGTGTTTTCAGCTTTTCTGACAGTATAATCATTTCTGACAAGTACTGGGAATCAAATTATTACGGTTTATCTGGAACAGTTTTGGAAAGAAGCGTTACAGTAAAGTGGGAATTTTGAATTCCACTTTACTGTAACGAAGTCCTTGTGTTCTATCATTCATTCATTAGTTAACCTAGAGTGGCGAATGGTCTCAAAAAAGCTATTTTATTTTTCTGCATTAAGCCTTTCTTGTCTCTGAGTTTGTGTATTTCTAACACTGTTTTTTGTTCTCAAGAATCTGTTGGTTACTAACCCGACACTATGGCGCGCCTGTGGCGTATTCAAATAAATAAATAAATAAATAAATAAATTCGAAATCAGCGGCTCCCATTACCGTAGTATGAGAGTTTCTGGCTTGTTTGGTTTTGTTCCTATGCAGAATATAGCCTCCAATGGCCTAAAATCCTTGTCGAAATTCGTACCGTAATCCTACAGCAATAAAGAGCGATCGATGATTCGCTTCATAATTTGACAAATGTTGAATCCAGAAGATATGCGTAACATAATTAGATAAACTACTCTGCATACAGAATGCATGCACATTCATGCTGTAAGCCTAAGTTTAACCTCGCTCTACAAAACGGTACCCAAAGCTTCTCGAAACACTTCATTACAAGAGTTATTTACAATCAAACAGTAGATACATTTTCTGGAACACTCTGTATATTGACTACAAGGAAAGAACACAGCTTATCGAAGTCCCAGTAGGTGTTGTTGTATAGCTTTCTGCTAAATGTATGCCGCTTTGAAAGTCTGAACTTGCCGCTTGGCAAGTTCAGACTTTCAAACAATCACGATTTTTTGTCGAAAAATTTTTTTTGCAGAAAAAGACAGATTTGAAATCATGATACATTGAAGCCACTTTGAACCAATGAACTGTTTTCTAGAAGTTGAGGGAAATAGAAAGAAACTTGCGACGGGATTGGGAAGTGGTCTTTATGCCGACGCGGCGTTTAACCCGTTCACTGATTTACTATTGTTATCTATTATCAATCTAATTTTATTCATGCCTTATCAGATAATCGTTTTTGAAGCTAGCTATCTTTTTTTTTATGTGCTGCTGCTCTCATGCTGGGCGTCGTCGTAATGGCTCGCAAGCGATCTATATAGTCAAAAATTGGGCAAATTGATCATTTTCACGCATTGACTCGGAAATGGTTCAATCATCTAGTTTAGAACACTCTGGAATATGCCTCCCCTTTTAGTTTTCACTGTAACCAGTTTTCGTTCATTCGTATGCGATAAAAACATGTTTTCCTGTCTTTTCTTAAACTGCTCAATATAGCCTTAGGTCTAGTGAGTTGTGATTTTGTATTATATATTTTCACCGCGATAGATGCATGATTTATCCGAATTTGCAATGCTTAATTAGATTGATCTCCTACTGGCTTTATTTCTTCAG